AAGCCACATCTCATCTCATCAGATGCTGCAAAAGCTTTTGACAAAATACAATGCCCTTCATGATAAAAGTCTTGGAGATATTAGGGATAAAGGGACATACCTAGAGCTCACATCAAGTTAAACAGAGAGAAACTCAAAGCAATTCCAATAAAATCAGAAACAAGACAAGGCTGTCCACTCTCTCCATATCTATTCAATATAGTACTTGAAGTTCTAGCTAGAGCAATAAGACAACTGAAGAACATCAAGGGGATACAAATTGGAAGTCAAAGTATCATTTGCAGATGATATGTATATAATGTATGCAGATAGTATACATAAGCAATTTCAAAAATTCTACCAGAGAACTCCCACAGCTGATTCCCACAGCTAATAAACACCTTCAGTGAAGTGGCTGTACACAAGATTAACTGAAAAAAAATCAGTAGTCTTTCTATATACAAATGACAAATGAGCTGATAAAGACATCAGGGAAACAACATCCTTCACAATAGCCACAAATAATATAAAATATGTTGTTGTAACTCTAACCAAGCAAGTGAAAGACTTGTATGGCAAAAAATTTCAAATCTTTGAAGTAAGAAAATGATATCAGAAGATGGAAAGATTTCCCATGCTCATAGATTGGTATGATTAACATAGTAAAAAAAATGCCCATCTTACCAAAAACAATCTACAGATTCAACACAATCCCCCTTAAAATTCTAACACAATTCTTTACAGACTTTAAAAGGACAATACTCAGCTTCATATGGAAAACAGAAAACAAAATAGGTAGTTAAAACAACCCTGTACAATAAAAAAAAAAATACAAAAACAAAAACAAAACCTATTGGAGGTATCACTATTCTTGATTTCAGCTGGTCCTACACAGCTATATATAGCGGCAATTAACAAGGCAATTCCACATAGTTTATCTGGTAGTTAAGAGAGGTTTATTTCAGGGTAACTTACAACCAATAAAGGGGTCAGTTATAGGATCCAGGAGAGGTGAGGTACAGTCCAGCATGGTTCTCTGGAGAACTCTTACTTGGTCTGCAATCCAGCATCTAGAATCATGAAGAGTCACAAAGCCTTTGACCTACAATTTGTCCTGCTTGCATGATGTGCTAGGGTAACGGTGCCTTAGAACTTGTGGGAGTGGCCAATCAATGCCTGGTCCAACTTGAGGCCAGACCATGACGGGGAGCCTATACCTGACACTAGCTGCATGGTCAGGAACAAGAGACTGGACAGTCCAGAGACCCAGGATAGAACCAAACAAACATGTCTAGGGAAAAAAAATCAATGAAATGACTACTGATAATATTTCTCTATACTCATAGATCAGTGCCTAGCCCAATCATCATGAGAGATTCTTCATCCAGCAACTGATGGGAACAAATACAGAAACCCACAGCCAAACATTAGGCAGCACTCAAGGCACCCCACAGAAGAAGGGGAGGAAGAATCATAGGAGCCAGAAGTATTGAGGACACCAGGAGAAAACTGCCCACAGAGTCAACTAAGTGGGGCTCATAGGGGCTCACAGACACTGAAGCAACAATCATGAAGCCTCTATGGGTCTGAGCTACGTCCTCTGCATATATGTTATGGTTGTGTAGCTTGATGTTCTTGTGGAAGTCCTAACAGTAGGAATAGGGAGTGTCTCTGACTCTTTTGCCTGCTGTTGGAACCTTTTTACTTCCTACTGGGTTGCCTTGTTCAGCCTTGATATGAGGGTTTTATGGTGATATTTTATTTGTGCTGAAATGTGATTTTATTTGTATGTTAATAAATAAAGTTGCCTAGAGATCAGAGATCAAAGCCAACCATTAGCAGAGTCAGGCGATGGTAGCACAAGCCCTTAATCCAATCACATGGCAGGCAGAGTCTCTGGGTGGTCAAGGACACAGCCAAGTATAATGACACAAACCTTTAATCTCAGTACCAACCATAGAGACCTGGAGGTCGGTATAGACAGGCAGTGACGAGGAAGTCATGTGGTTGGGTTTAGAGCCAATGAGAAGGCAGAACAGAAAGGCAATAAAAAGACAAGTCAGACAGGAAGAAGGTCTCTCTCTGGGGAAGCTACTTCTGGTGGTAAACTAAAGTTAGTCATGGTTATTACTCTGATCTCTTTGGATATATTCTCTGTATTTGGCTCTGTGTTTCTTATTTACTAAGACTGTTTAGAAATTTGTCTATAGGGTTTCTGCCTAGTCTTACTGTAACTTGTTATGCCTTGTTCAGTGGATGTCCCTGGGAGGCCTGCTATTTTCTGAAGGGAAATGGAGGAAGAATGGATCTTGAGGAGAGGGGAAGTGGGGGGGTTGAGAAGAGTAGAGGGAGGGGGAACTGTGTTCACAATGTAGTGTATAAGAGAAGAATAAACAAAATAATTTTTTAAAAAGAAGATTCTCTTCCAGAGCACACTTAGAAACCTTTAGACTGTTTAAGTTCATCTGGGCATGTCAATTTTATCACTAAGTTCATCCCTATCCTTTGTCAATTTGTCAGAGATTCTAAGCATAAGTGACCAGCATCATCATTTTCCTTATTTTCCCAAAACTGTCAAAAGTTTCATATAAAGAGTAAACAAATCTGTTGCAGCCCACATCTGGTAGATCAGTTCACTTATCTCTTTAAGTTTGTAAAATAGTTCACACCATGAGTTTTTAGTGTTTCTGAGCTCCTAGGAGAGGCTTCAGTAACTGGAGAGACTTTGATAATTATAGGTGTTGACAAATTGAAAAGCCTATTCCAGATACTTAAAAGATTCATCTTTATACTTCTCTTGCTCTAAAACCACTTCTTATACCAAAATCAGCATTAGTTACTTTCTCTAGAATAGAACTTGTAGAATATATATATATATATAAATGACTTACAGGCTGCAGTCTAGCTAATCCAATGATAGCTAGCTGTGAATGGAAAGTGCAAGAATGCAGTAGTTGCTTAGTCAATGAGGCTGGGTGTCTCAGCTGGTCTTCAATATTTTTTTGAAATCCGGAAAGAGTTAGAAAGAGCAAGGCAAGAGCAAGAGGAGGTGAGCTTTTCCAGCTCAAATGATCTGTATTTAGGGTGTGTCTTCCCTTCTTGAGATCCAGATTAAAGGCCGCAAGATATAATAAATACTGGCACAAATATTACAGGAGTAACCAAATACTTTCTGAATCAATGTAAGGCTCACTCCATCAGATAAAACCCATACCTGACACTGTTAATGAGGGAAGAACCTGAGACTATAAAGGTCATGGTCCTAGAGGAAAACCTATTACTATTATTCTGGAAAGGAATGTAGTAATAAAATGACTACTAATGACATACTACTATACCCATAGATTAGTACCTCACACAGCACACATCAGAGGAGCTTCTTCTTGCAATAGATAGCAATTAACATAGAAATCCACAACTGGACAATGTCCCAAGAGTGTGAGAATTTGGAGCACACAGTCCTAAATGAGATGACTTCATCAAACCCCTCCTCTCAAGTCTCCAGGATCTATATACAAGAGGAAGCAGAAAAATTATAAGAGCCAGCTGATGGATGATTCCAAGGAAATGGTGTCTTCTGGACACAATAGCGGATGCACATAATGAACTCACCGTGACTGTGGCAGTGAGCAGAATACCTGCACATGTTCAAACCAGGCAAATCCCAGCAAAGAGAAGGAGAGGTGGACACAAAATCTCCTCCCTAACCAAGAAGCTATTTGCAATTATTACCCACTAGCAAAGGGAAATCCATTTTCTCCAAAGGAATGTCACTGGTTATATGAACCCCATTCATCCATGATTTTTGGAGGGATTTTCTGTTTCATTTTTACTTGTTGTTTGGGTCTTATTTGTTCTTTTCTTGATTGTTTTGAATTGTGAAGAATTTATTTGATTTTTATTTTGTTTTTTAGAGATAACATTAAGTTCATGGATAGGAATGTAGGAGAATTTGGAAGGAGTTTGGGGATGGGAAGGAACATGTTCAAAATATAGTCTATAGAAAAAAATTAAACTAGATGTTTTAAAACAATATTGTCTAATTATGGTTTCCCTTCCTCCAACTCTTTCCAAATCCTTCTCAATTCACCACTCACTCAAATTCACACTTTTCTCTTTCTCTCTTATTAGAATACAAATTAGCATCTAAAAGATAATAAAATATGGTAAGATAAAAAGAAACAAACTGGAATAGGATGAAGCAAACAAACTACTAGGAGAAAGGAAGGAAGAAAGGAAGGAAGGAAGGAGGGAGGGAGGGAGGGAAGGAGAGAAGGAGGGAGGAAGGGAGGAAGGAAGGAAGGAAGGAAGGAA